CTGTCATGTATAACGTGTAGTCGAGATGGGTGCAATGGCCGGCGGTTGTTCTCTTGACACATACTACAGACATGATGTGTGAGTGACACCTGTCATGTATAACGTGCAGTCGAAATGGGTGCAATGGCCGGCGGTTGTTCTCTTGATACATACTACAGCAATGATGTGTGAGTGACACCTGTCATGTATAACGTGTAGTCAAGATGGGTGCAATGACCGGCAGTTGTTCTCTTGATACATACTACAGACATGATGTGTGAGTGACACCTGTCATGTATAACGTGTAGTCGAGATGGGTGCAATGGCCGGCAGTTGTTCTCTTGATACATACTACAGACATGATGTGTGAGTGACACCTGTCATGTATAACGTGCAGTCGAAATGGGTGCAATGGCCGGCGGTTGTTCTCTTGATACATACTACAGCAATGATGTGTGAGTGACACCTGTCATGTATAACGTGTAGTCAAGATGGGTGCAATGACCGGCAGTTGTTCTCTTGATACATACTACACACATGATGTGTGAGTGACACCTGTCATGTATAACGTGTAGTCAAGATGGGTGCAATGACCGGCGGTTGTTCTCTTGATACACACTACAGACATGATGTGTGAGTGACACCTGTCATGTATAACGTGTAGTCGAGATGGGTGCAATGGCTGGCGGTTGTTCTCTTGATACATACTACAGACATGATGTGTGAGTGACACCTGTCATGTATAACGTGTAGTCGAGATGGGTGCAATGGCTGGCGATTGTTCTCTTGATACATACTACAGACATGATGTGTGAGTGACACCTGTCATGTATAACGTGTAGTCGAGATGGGTGCAATGGCTGGCGGTTGTTCCCATGATACATACTACAGACATGATGTGTCGAGATGGGTGCAATGGCCGGCAGTTGTTCCCTTGATACATACTCCAGACATGATGTGTGAGTGACACCTGTCATGTATAACGTGTAGTCAAGATGGGTGCAATGACCGGCAGCTGTTAACTTGATACATACTACAGACATGATGTGTGAGTGACACCTGTCATGTATAACATGTAGTCGAGATGGGTGCAATGGCCGGCGGTTGTTCTCTTGATACATACCATAGCCATGAGTAGGTATACTTGACATATGTTATATATAAAACGTTCCATAGACATGAGAAGGTACGCTTAACATATGGTATATATAAAACTTACTATAGACATGATAAGGTATGATTGACCCCTGTCATGCAATACGTTTAACAGACGTACGATTCACTGATCAGCAGTTGTTCTTTTAACAATTAATGCAGGCATACATATGCCATGTATGATTCACATATGCCGTGTGAATCTGTACTATAGACATGATTGACATCCTTCAGGTGGTACTGTCACTTGCCACCTACAACTTAATATCAACTTAAGATTGTATTACCGCCACCATTATTGGTGTAATGCCTGAGTGATGGGATACCATTGTAGACAATTGCAACCCAAGGCAGTTTTACTATGTAAATATAAATTGTCTATGCAAGAGCATAACCAGCTAAGATCTTCTGCCGAAACTGATTCCACTTCGCGTCAAGGGCAAATAGCTATGGAAATTATATGAATGGACCACTGAAAATCAGTTATGACACCTGGTGTTCGCGAAAAAAATTCTCCACTGAAACCATACACAAGACAAACCAGAACATGACATACATATATGTGTCCACTATTGAGGACATCTGATAATTGAAATATAAGACGTCAACCCCTGAGAATAACAAGTATCGATTTGTTTAATCAACCGAAACAGATTCCAATGGGAGTACAGGTTAAAGATAACGGTAAAAAGTATATGAAGGGATCACTGAAAATCATTGATGACACCATGTGATAATGGTATGCATGCCCTGCTCTACCGGTAGCACCCACCACATTTACTGATTTGCTGAAACTAAAGCCATATGTTACTTTCGATTATCGACAGCTCTGTATTAGTGCAGGGATTTTACTGAATATAATTTTAGAAAACCTTCAACAAATATGTATACCTAAATATATTCTAAACATATATATTCTTTGCAATGCACAGTTTTAATGTCTCGGTCAAACAGGGAGGTTTTGAGATTCTTTGTAGGAGGGCTTAAACTTTGTGAGAGAGATATTAGTTCAAGTATTTTCATGTTTGTAAACAACATTATAGTGAGATCATTGTGCTAAAACACGTTCTTAAATATACTCCATTCTATTTAAAACGGATGTCATAACATCTGACGTTAATTATTGTGAGTTATGAAAACGCTAATCTAGTGTTGAATCCAAATATTTTAAAACTTTACAAAGACATTTGTTATCGAATGATAAATATCGAATTATATAATATTATACAAAAGAACCATCCTTGCACAATGTTGTTTACGATACGTTCACTTGTAGGATGTTAAATAACTCTCTTGTCGATGTCTTGTACTTGTGTGTCCATTAGTCGTCTTTCAGCAGTCATGTCAGTTTAGCAACCCGTGCTCACGTGTTGTACTTCTTTTTGTCTAATTGTTACCTTCAATTCCCTGAAACTCATTGAAGGTTCCTTAATATTCGCATACATCACCTGTGTGAATTGGGAATCAATTATCTGGTATGATGAATACATACTTTAAAGTTTGTACTCCCCCACAGTCCACATTACACGTGAAGATCCGGGGTAGAATAGGTCTTCAGCAACCCACGCTGGCCGTAAAGGTGACTGTGCTTGTCGTAATAGGCGACTAACGGATTGTGTGGTCAGGTTGATGTATGCCATCATATCCCAATTGCGTGGTCATGATGTCAATCACTGGATTGTCTGGTCCAGACTCGATTATTTAAAGACCGCCGTCATATAGCTTGAATATTGCTGAATTAAACAACAAACAAACACACTCCACAGTTACTTGAGCGGACAAGCTCTGAACAAGCATCTGGACTTCGCACGAACTGATTGCATGAAAGATTATTACGATGGATACTTGAGATCTGACAGCCGGCATAACCCCGTGACATGGGGAAATGAACATACATGAAGGTGACCCCTAACCTCTGCCTGGGTATCCGTGTAAAGACGTCGTGGCAGCACCTTCACAAATAATAGGATGATAATTATAACTGTTTTAAACAAGATGTTTATGTGAAATATTAAGTTACTAATAAGAGCTTGTGTTTGATCTGGAAGGCAATAAATATATGTAAATATCAGAAAATACAATGCAATTAGGTTTGGAATTATCATAGGTGAGGTGAAATGGGGTTTAACGTCGCGTCCAAGATTATTGCACTTATATAGCGACGTGCATGTACGTGTGTGTGTGTGGCTCCTTGTACTAGTCCGGACTGATGTCGATTTATAGTGCTAGCTCACTGAGATACCATGCCGCAGTTTAACATGAATACCCCACTCAGACACAGTATACTGACTCCGAGCCGACCAGTCCTTGCTTTATCCCCTTAAAGCCGAGCGCCAGACAGGGTGACGACAAGTACCATCTTTTCACGTCTTTTGGTATGACGCGGCCGGGGATCGAACCCCGGACCTTCTGCTCTCCAGGCGGACGCTCTACCACTAGACCACGGAGGCGGTCTTGGAATTATCATATATTGTACATCATGCTGCCAACACATAAGACAGCTCAGATACATGACCTCTGTGATCGCCATGAAGTGCCATCCTTGACAGCTGCTATGCGATACTTGCTGTAGCCACGAGATACCACTGAAGATCACCTGCCATGTAATGTATACATACATGTAGTACATAGGATGTTGGCAGGTAATGCATACTGTGAACATGAAGTGCGATAATGAGCACCTGTCTGCTAATTTGTACTGTTTACATGAAATGTGATGATGGACACGTGTCTGCTATGTTCTGTTTACATGAAGTGTGATGATGGACACGTGTCATCTCATATGTACTGTTTACATAGAATGTTATGATGGCCACGTGTCGTCTAATATGTACTGTTTGCATGAAATGTGATGATGGACACGTGTCGTCTAATATGTACTGTTTGCATGAAATGTGATGATGGACACGTGTCGTCTAATATGTACTGTTTACATGAAATGTGATGATAGACACGTGTCGTCTTATATGTACTGTTTACACAGAATGTTATGATGGACACGTGTCGTCTAATATGAAATGGGATGATGGACACGTGTCTAATATGTACCGTTTAAATGAAATGTGATGATGGACACGTGTCGTCTAATATGTACTGTTTAGAAGAATGTTATGCTGGACACGTGTCGTCTAATATGAAATGTGATGATGGACACGTGTCTAATTTGTACCGTTTAAATGAAATATGATGATGGACACGTGTCGTCGAAAATGTACCGTTTACACGAAGTGTGATGATGGACACGTGTCATCTCATATGTACTGTTTACATGAAATGTGATGATGGACACGTGTCGTCTAAGATGTACTGTTTATATAGAATTTCATGATGGACATACACCCGATCATACTTGTGACGTCACTAATAAATCACTGCAGTTTTAAATATCAAGCACAAGGGCATTTACAAATTCTTCATATATCTGAACGTATTTACAGACGTACTGAACTATCAACATGCCTTTAGGCAGAAATACCCTTTCCCTGAATAACTGACATGTGTGGTTTCTTTTTGTGGTAACTTTTTATACTGATCAGTTGGCATCAATACTAACCCACTCTCAATTACAGCTACGACAGCACTACACTTATTTTAGGTTGCTAACGGGATCGGGTGGTCAGGCTCGCTGATTTCCATGTCATCGTTTCCCAATTGCGTAGATCGATGCTCATGATGTCAATCACTGGATTGTCTCGTCCAGACTTGATTACTTACAGACCGCCGTCATATAGCTGAAATATTGCTGAGTGCGGCGTTAACAAACAAACAAACAAACAAACAAACAAAGGTTGCCTTCCGTTTTAGGAAATTGTTCGTTTTGTTATCTGTATAAAAACACTTATGAAACCTGCATCATTTCCTTGCAGGTATATGCGAAAACGTGTTTTGGTGGACATGTTGCTGCTATTGCTGTTGCCCATGCTCGCCGGACCCAGCGTTGTTCAAGGTACGTTAGGTTTGGATATCTATTCTAAACACTATCAAGCATACGAATACGGTAAACTGATAACTTAACTTTTACATCACTTTACATCGGACACATACCATTCGCAGTTCCAAGTTTGATGCGTATAACGATGTCTACGTCATATAAAGGGTAAGTGTCTTCATCCTTTGAAAATGTCTGAGGAGCCTTAATAAGGACAAGGCAGTCATTGCCAGGCCTAATGATCCAGTATGTGACATTTTCTGTCACCAATTAACCTGACGTCAGTAGTGAACTTCCCACCATCAACTGAATCGATTATCACATTGTCTATTCCTTGATCCCAAATCTAAGGGGATTTCCTTCGACCGTCTTTTTTTATAAACATCGGTGATTGTAATTATATTTCATTAATGCCATTTATTGAAGCCCTATATATCCGTTTAACACAATGTATTTTAAGAGTAGAGATTAGGTTTGTTTTGCACTACGAAAGAAAATAAAAGCCTTGAATGTGGACCATATTCATTTATTATACCTTAAGCTCTTAGTCCTTAGAGTACTGTCTGAAATTTACCAAATTTGGCAAAGATGTGTGAGGATATTTTGGCACTCGAATACACAGTCTGAACCGTTAGTCACGATTCAGCTTTAGCCAGATTTAGTACACATTATAGATTTGGTATTATGTACTTTTTTTTGTATAGTTAGCGTGAGTGCATTGTTGACTGACACTTGCAAAGTTAACTGACTATTTGATAGTGGAGTTTTAACTTAAGGTAGAGTTTGAACCCTATATTTTAGTTTTTAGGAACGATATACTTTGGACAAACATATTGTAATTACTTAAAATTGTGCGAAAGGGACTATTTCTGTTGAGCGAGCCAGACCTTTCCACACAATGCCACGCGCTTATGTATTTAACTGCAGACCCTACACACTATCTCCAGGAATATCTGCATTGCGATACACATACATGCAGATAGTCAAACACGATGTATTCTTGAATGAGATACACATACATGCAGGTAGTCAAACACGATGTAATGTGGAATGCGATACACATACATGCAGGTAGTCAAACACGATGTATTCTGGAATGTGATACACATACATACAGGTAGTCAAACACGATGTATTCTGGAATGTGATACACATACATGCAGGAAGTCAAACACGATGTATTCTGGAATGTGATACACATACATGCAGATAGTCAAACACGTTGTATTCTGGAATGTGATACACATACATGGAGGTAGTCAAACACGATGTATTCTGGAGTGTGATACACATACATGCAGGTAGTCAAACACGATATATTCTGGAATGTGATACACATTCATGCAGGTAGTCAAACACGATGTATTCTGGAATGTGATACACATACATGCAGGTAGTCAAACACGATGTATTCTGGAATGTGATACACATACATGCAGGTAGTCAAACACGATGTATTCTGGAATGTGATACACATACGTGCAGGTAGTCAAACATGATGTATTCTGGAATGTGATACACATACATGCAGATAGTCAAACACGTTGTATTCTGGAATGTGATACACATACATGCAGATAGTCAAACACGATTTATTCTGGAGTGTGATACACATACATGCAGGTAGTCAAACACGATGTATTCTGGAATGTGATACACATACATGCAGGTAGTCAAACACGATGTATTCTGGAATGTGATACACATACATGCAGGTAGTCAAACACGATTTATTCTGGAGTGTGATACACATACATGCAGGTAGTCAAACACGATGTATTCTGGAATGTGATACACATACATGGAGGTAGTCAAACACGATGTATTCTGGAATGTGATACACATACATGCAGGTAGTCAAACACGATGTATTCTGGAATGTGATACACATACATGCAGATAGTCAAACACGATTTATTCTGGAGTGTGATACACATACATGCAGGTAGTCAAACACGATGTATTCTGGAATGTGATACACATACATGGAGGTAGTCAAACACGATGTATTCTGGAATGTGATACACATACATGCAGATAGTCAAACACGAATAATTCTGGAATGTGATACACATACATGCAAATAGTCAAACGAGATGTATTCTGGAATGTGATACACATACATGCAGGTAGTCAAACACGATGTATTCTGGAATGTGATACAGATATGCAGGATAGTGAAAGGCGGACATTTGAACTTGTTTTGCATTTCAAGAGAGATGTTACCGGGATTCAGCATGTCTGGTATGTGACTCGTTTCGTGTTTTTGGTGCTTCACATATCTGCTGCGTTTCATGAAGACATGATAGTCAAAGGGATTACGTCATCAAACGAGCTATAAATATGTGGTAAATTATCAGCAAAACTATGCACAAATGACACGTTCATCGAATGCAAATTCTGATTGTATAAACCCGATATAATGGCGATAAGAACATGTGCCATTTGGTTAAGATATATCAACGTCACTCGAAAGAAACACTTCTGTTGGACTACTTGCAGAGGAAGTATAGGTAATAAGAGTGCTTACCGTGTTTGCATGTGCTCACGTGTATACTTGTCATAAGTTGATATTCATCAGCATTGCCATATCCTAGTGTTTATTTGGGAGGGAGTCGTGAGTCAGATTATTATATATTTAGTTTCCTAATCACATGCCCACGAACGACGGGGAACTCTGTTGACAAAAACATAAAACAAAGAATATAGAATCGTATAGAATATAGAAACAATTATATGAAAGTGATCGATAATGAATCAGCTGATTAATTTGAACCAACCATGTTTCCTCCTATGGTTATCTAATGGCAATATATAAAGATACTACCATTTAAAAGATATGGATAGTTGTTATTTTTCTTATTTTTCATTTCCATGATAGCAGTGTAAATTGTAAAATGCTACCCATACAGCTTATTATTGATGATTATTTGGAATTCTGAAAACTGTACTCCTATATATTTTACATTTGTCTTTTCTCTTTCAACGCGATTGTTCATTGATTAAAAATATTCCAAGTAATGCCATGACATTTGATTGGCTAGCCAATCAATTTGTATGCGCCCATAAACTTGGAACAAATAAACCACGCCCACTGACGGACTTCCTTGATATTTTTCTTGTCTCTTGTGTTGTATTATTGCGCTGAACGATGTAACTAATTTCGTAATGTAGTGTACATTCTTTGTGTGAAAGTATTATAGATGACTATTATATATATATATAACAATTGTCTTCAATATGTTTGCGTTATTGAGGTAGACCGGGTTTTAAAGGTTTATACCTCCATAACGCAAATAAATATCGAAGACAATTCTTGAATTTACTCAATTAAGCATAATAATATATTTCCATCTGAGTTCTTAAAAATATTCGAATTTGAATGGTAATGCATCTCATAGCCGGAGAGCCGTATGGCTAAATAGCATGAAGTACCTTTAGCTGACGAACGACCAATTTCAACGGGAACATTTTGATTATTAATTCTGAATTTTACCACAGGGAGAAAAATAGGATTCGACAAACAGGGCATTGTTCAAACTTTGGTTATGATTTAACATTCTTATTGAATACACTTTGAGAGTTTGATAATACTTCGTTGTCCAAACATTGCTCGAAATGATTATGTGATTTTCGTTGGGCAAGAAAGGGGGTCACTGAACACATACGGCAGTCCCCAGTTATTCAATAATATTTATTAGTGTTACAATAGGATTCATGTTGAATAAAATGTGCGATATTTGGAAATTTTCTCTCTGACCATAGCTTTATGCCAAAATGCTATTTGTGTCTCGTAATAACGTTGGATCGCCGTGGGAATTCGGAGGCGGAATAGCTCCCATGTGTCCCATTTGCTGAACGTATTAGGGGACTAAACTGCATCCGGTTGTCAGGCTTTGTGATTTGTCTATTCCTCGTTGGCGTGGAACGTTCTTGTTTTTTAGTTTGTGGTGTGTCTGGTCCAGAATCGACTATTTACAGACCACCGCGATATGGCTTGAATATTGCTGATTTGTACCCCATACGTCGAGTACCAAGCCCTACCGGTATCACCACCAATCAGACGTGTGTGTTGCCTGACGACACACAGCAGTACTCCTGAGATACGAGGGTGGGCTCATAATCAAACCAGACAATCAAGTGATGGAAAGAAATTCAGATACACGATACCGTTTACTGATTTTGTAGAAACTAAAAATTGTATGTTAATTTTGAATAACAACTGCTGTGGGCAAGAACAGAGATTCTGCTGCTTATAAGAAAAAAAATATGTTTAAGAAATATGTTGGTTTTGCAACACAATAGGGGGCAGATTTAATGTCTCGGCCGAAACATTTCTTTTGTAGTTGACTCAGCATAATTGATACATGCTACAGAGCTTATCATGGGTAGTTCTCTCAATGTAAAATTATGTAAAGTCAATTTGTCAGAAAACTTAATGTGCCTGTGTGAACATCCATGTTAAAACGTCTGTCACAAGTTTTTGAAATGTCCTAATTATAATATTATTAGAACTTTTATTATGTTACAATATGTTATCAGTTGGAGGTCAATTCTCGATCCAGACAGTTCTGCATAGTGATATTTCATGCTCACTCATACATACCATCTTTATATTTAAGAGTGTGCAAAAACATTCCATGCCAACAAACAGATTTAATTAACATTTTATTTACCTCCAACTTATACTCGAAGAGATCTAGTAGTTTACATTTTTTATTTTACCATTTACAACCTCTCCTCGCCAGATGACTGCATACAGTATCAGTAACAGATATATTTTGTGTAATTTTATTAATTATCAATGAGAGTAGGTCTACAGAAATATCGTACTTTGTATGCACGTTACGTATGTCACTGTTTAATATATAAACTATTGTCCGTTGTGTGCATATATGTTGATGGAGAGGGCCTCGAAAGTTAAACAACTGTTGCCCAGTTCTGCTGACATTTTAATGTTAATAATGTATGTTTAAAACAATATTAAATGGTCACCCCTTTAACAAAATGTAGACGTT